AACTGATGGATGCTCGATAATAAACATCACTAAATGACTTCTGGCATATAACTTGGAAGATTTTGATATTGCAAAACTTCTATTAGAATTAACTAATTTATATGAACATGTATTTCTCAGAACTTAAGACCTACGAAATCTAAATACGGGAACAGATTTGATACCAAATTCCATTTCAATGTATCAATAAGTAATATACATCTCCAAATACAAGAACTATTAGATGAGAGGGAGATACCTCCATTCATTTCATTAAAGAATGGATTTGTTACATACAAAGTGAAATTTAATCAAAATTTTAATCTATGTATGTTATTATAATCAACTACACATTAATTGTAAAAGTAACTCAAACCAGAAGGCATTTTTAGCATGTAAAGCAGGCATCCTCAAACTACGGCCCGAGGGCCACATACGGGCCGCCTAGCACATTTATCCGGCCCTCCGGGTGTTTTTGCCACCACTGCCTGCCCTGCTTAGCAGCCGACTTGTCCCGGGCCCACAGTGCACACTCTCCAACGGGCTGAGGGACAGTGAACTGGCCCCCTGTTTGAAAAGTTTGAGCACCCCTGAAAAGCTTATAGTCACAGGAAAAACATTTTCAATTTCAATTTAGTTACACATTATTGCAGCAGAGAAGAATGATAATCAAAAATTCAAGGGGAGAAAAGGCATATAAAGTGAAAAAAAATAACTAAAGTATCCAATTATTAAAGAACTTTCTTTATATATTTTTAAATTAATAATGGCATTTAGATTCTATTAAATTTGAAAGTTATATTTTACTGAACTATTACAATATGCCTGAAATTCCGTATTTCTGGTTACTAAACTTTTGCTAAAATAGTGCAGTTATCAAGTTAAGTATGTCCAAGTGGTACACAGTTTTTTTAAATTGTCTTAGAGGACATGAGTAAAAAAATCTTAAGATCATTGTTCTAGATAGAAAAAATTATAAAGAGTCATCTAGATAAATGAAATCATATTAACAGAATAGCAAAAATATCATTCTTAAATGTTCATCTCCTTCAATAGACAAGAACCTTGAGGACATGCATTTTTTCCCAGGTATTCCCACCACTATAAATAGCAAATAGATTTTAATAACTGTTTACCACAGGGGGAATTTTTGCTTGTTTGAGACAGAGTCTTGCTCTGTTGCCCAGGCTAGAGTGCCATGGCGTCAGCCTAGCTCACAGCAACCTCAAACTCCTGGGCTCAAGCAATCCTAATGCCTCAGCCTCCCGACTACAGGCATGTGCCACCATGCCCAGCTAATTTTATTATATATTTTTAGTTGTCCAGCTAATTCTTTCTATTTTTTTAGTAGAGACAGGGTCTCTCTCTTGCTCAGGCTGGTCTCAAACTTCTGAGCTCAAACAATTCTCCCGCCTCCGCCTCCCAGAGTGCTAGGATTAGAGACCTGAGCTACCGCGCCCGTCCACAGGAGGAAATTGATGGAGGGAATAAAAACTGTAAATATATAAGCGTCCAAGTATATTATTTAATAATGGGAAATGAGAAACATATTTATATTAGAAATCAAATACAAACCACAGAATTCAGACAAAGCCAGACACATCTCTTAAATTACAAAAGAAAAGCCTTAGTATAGTTAAAAACCTGATTTATATTTTAAGCAGTAGACTGATGAAATTAAAATAACAAATGCAGTGCTGGTCTTTGACCTCAAGAGATGTGACTAGTAATTAAATGGGAATAAGAATTTGGCAGAAGAAGGGAGCAAATTTGAAATCACTTAGCCCTCTCAGCCATAAATGAAATTCCATTTTAATAAATAAAGATTCAAAGTTTAGTAAAGCCAAAATCTTAGATGATCAAAATTTAATATTCAAAAAATATTAAATCTTCCATCAAACACTAAATTCTAATTCTTTTGTGAGTCAATGTTTTACTAAGACCCTCAGTAAATGTCTAATTTTCTCCTCCAATATGTAGAGAAGCTGTCACCACCATCTGCCTGACTATGTAATCTCTTCTTTGATAGAGCTTTCAAGTTAAATGATCCATTGTTATGATCTGGAAATAAAGTTCAAAAACCAATTATAACATTTTCATGTTGGGTATGATTATGACTTTTAAGCAGCTAACATGATTTTAACACTGGTAATATATTTCTTCTTTGAATTTTTCATCTAATAAATTCTATGCTGTAAACTTTTGGTGAAAAATACAAAATCTTTGAGTATATATTAAACTACCAATTTTCTCACTAAGGGTAGGAACAAAGTATAAATAACTTAAAAGCATTAAAATACAATTATTTTATAATCACCTTTATCTCACTCTTACCTGAATTCTGATTAGATTCCCCTCATAATTAGAAGTACAGCTTATTAAACAAGGGAACAATACAAACTTCAATCTGACCCATATGGCTCTTTTAACACAAAGAGTAGATTACTTCTAAGGGATAAAAAGCTCAATTTATCACCTATTACATCAATTTCTATTTCCTAACTTAAGAAAAATAAATAGGAATAGGAAAAAAAGACACTATAACTATTTCAAAGAAAACTTCACAGATAAATTAGGAATAAAAAGTGCAGGGCGCCGGCCCGGGGAGTGGTCACGCACCTGTATCCTACGCCATGCGTGGGCCCGGCCGGCGACGCCCGAGGCAGGCGAGTTGCTCCGAGGGGGTTGGCGGGACTGTCGAACACCAGCCTGAGGCGACGACCCGCGCTCTCTACTAAACAGTAGAAAGAGAATTAATTGACCAAACAACACAATCATTACACGTACAAAAATCGCCGGGCCGATGGGGGTTGCAGTGCTGTAGTCCGCCAGTACGTTGGGAGGCTGAGGCAGGAGGATCGCTTGAGCCAGGAGTTGAGGTTGCTGTGAGCTTGGCTGAGCCACGGCACTCACTCTAGCCAGGGCAACAAAAGTGAGAGCTCTGTCTCAAAAAAAAAAAAAAAAAAAGTGCAAACACTGCCACTGCATACACATGAGTGTTGAAAAAAGATCATGGGGCATTGCCAACCACTTTGAGAAACAACCCCACTTCTCAATCTTGTGTGGAAAAACCTGTATACAAGACCATTTTCGGGGAAGAGGGGCATGGGGAATATAAGTAACCTTAACACTTTTACCCCAATAATACGCTAAAAAAAAAAAAAAAAAAAAAAAAAAGACCATTGGCTTCAGAGCATCTATCATTCTGTTTGTACAACTGCAGGAGCCTTAACACCACCACGGCGTCACAAAGGCATTCCATTAGTCACATAAGTAGAAAGTAAAACGATCATCATAAACACTAGAACACATTGCTTCAGAAATACACATCAATCAGCAAGGCATCAGATCAGATACCAAGTCCCCATGTGGCTGATCACACAGGGAGAGGTTAAATAAAAGGGGAGGGGGAAAGCCAATCTCTGGCATCAGCTTGGTAACAATAATTTAAACAAAAGATTGCATTAGAACCACCGCAAGTCAAATGTAACAATTGTCAGAGATCCAAAAGAACAGCTTCTAGGCAACACAATACTCCTTTGAGATTAAAGTCTTTATTGAGTATGCTTTTTTCAGACTAAGATGAAACTTCATATGCAAGTTTCCTTTAAAACTAACTTTGTTACAATCTCAACAATAACTTCATTAGTACACTGAAGTCTACCATGTTTCCAAAAATAACAGTATTAAGATTGCCTCACATATATGCTTTCACATTCACTATTTCAATTTATGAAATATTGCCCACAGTTCATTTTCCCAAGGTGTTCAGAACACTTGTAAACAATAATAACTAATATTTATTGAATAATTACTATCTGCTAAACATCATGATAAATAATTTTCACATTTAATTCCTCCCCAAAATCCTATTTAAGATGTATCATTGTCCCCCTTTAACCATAAGAAAACTTGTAGTAGTAAGTGGTGGAGTATGGATTCAAATCCACTTGTAAACCCTGTGATACTGCCTTATGTAAGACTCACTAGCCTTTGCACATATTATTCCCTCTGAAACTGGCTATTTTGTTGAAGTATGGAAATCCAGGCTAGGTGCAGTGGCCCATGCTTGTAATCCCAGATCTTTGGGAAGCCAAGGCAGGAGGATCACTTGAGGCCAGAAGTTCAAGACCAGCCTGGACAACACAGTGAGATCCCATCTCTATAAAAATTTAAAAAATTGGCCAGGTGCAGGGGCTCACGCCTGTAATCCTAGCACTCTGGGAGGCTGAGGCGGGCAGATCATTTGAGCTCAGGAGTTCGAGACCAGCCTGAGCAAGAGCAAGACTTGGTCTCGACTAAAAATAGAAAGAAATGAATTGACCAACTAAAAATATATGGAAAAAATTAGCTGGGCATGGTGGCACATGCCTGTAGTCCCAACTACTCAGGAGGCTGAGGCAGTAGGATTGCTTGAGCCCAGGAGATTGAGGTTGCTGTGAGGTAGGCTGATGCCACGGCACTCTAGCCCGGGCAACAGAGTGAGACTCTGCCTCAAAAAAAAAAAAAAAAAATTTTAACTGGGCATGCCAATAGTCCCAGCTACTTGTGAGGCTGAGACAAGAGGACCACTGGAGCCCAGGAGTTCAAGATAACAGTGAGCTATAATCATACCACTACACCACCCTGGGTAACAAAGCAAGACCTCATCTCTTTAAAAAAAAAAAAAAAAAAACAGGAAAGAAATAGATAAATGCACGTTTGATGTGTCCTTGTTTAAATTTAGTAAAATAATATTAAGCTTACCGTAAACTCCTATGTAAGAAGCTAACTGGAAAGACTATGAAAAAGAGATGACAATATGTTAAGGACAAACACCATACAAATGGTCAAGTATGAACCACATACAGTTTTGTTTACCATGGTATCTCTCCAGCATTAACGCAATGCAAGCATAAACACTCAATAAATGTTTATTGAATAAGTGAATGTAATAAGGATATTTCTATGCATTCTTTTATAGCCCTAGAAACTAATGTCCCAATTTATCTGTAATTTTAAAAATGAAGCCTACAAAGCAAGCATTTACCTTGTCTGCTGCTGTTTTAATAACCACTCCTATAATTAAGAATCTTGATTGTGTTATGCTTGCACCAAAACTCTAAATATAAATAATACACCATAACTAAAAACACTGTCTCTAAATAGCCAACTGGAGATGACTTTGCCATTTAAATGTCATAGACTGTTTTTTTAAATATACAAGCATATTTATCTAATCAAACCCTCTTCCAATTTGCAGAGCTGAAAAACCAATCTTTTCTCTCAGAATTTCTCCTAAATCAAACTACCACATGGAAATAATGACTTTCAGAGGGCAAAATTTATACAGAGAACAAATAATGAAAGAAGGAAAGAGAAAAGAAAAATTAATTCATGAAATTTTATGCATACTTCCTGGAGGAGACATCAAGCTGGTAAAAGGACTGTTCCCTAGGTTATTACCTCTCCCGACATTATCTTATAGCCCCAGCACTGAAGTAGTCACTAAAGGATCTGGAATTTTATAGTAAAACACTAAGGAATCATCAATTTGTTAGTAACTCACAAATTCCTATACAGAAATTTAGCTTAAGGGAAAGAAAAATAAAGGAAAAGGGGTGACAGCTGATATCCCAGACAGCTCTATTCAAGTTTATGAATGATTTACTCTTAAGGGTGGCAGGACTTAATGCAAATGAACAGAGAGGAAACTGTCAGCTGCATTGTGGTTCAACCAATCGAAGCGCAGCTCCATCTTGGCTGTGCACTAGACTGCATTACAAACAGACGATACCATCGCTTCAACAGCATCCTTTCAGACAAGAGGTAGGTTTATATGATCTTTTTTATTTAGTGGTACATGTCCTTATGATGCCATAGGAAAATATTTTACCATGAAAAATCAACCAGAAAGCTTTGTTCCTACGAAATACCAAGAAAAGCAACGTATTCATTTCATTGCTTGGTAGAATTTTATTATGAAAATAGGAAGACTGCCGCCTTGTGCTGTTTGCTAAGCACCCTTACCATCTGTGCCTTAATGGAAAATTCATTACGTTTTATATGAAGCTGATCTATATCCAGATCTTGGAGTAAACCATAAGCATTGGAGATGTTAACTGGTTACTTGCTAATTTCATTTTCTCGGAACGATTTCATTTTAGCAGTTTGGTCTGTCTTAACAAAGGATTTTTCTTAAAGAAAAATCTAGACTAAAAGCGAACCCTGGACTAAAGCTTTCTGATTATATGTGCAAATTATACTACTAGCTGATAAAAAGCAGTTACTTACAAGAAAGTTTGTTATATTTTAACAAATAAAACAGTTCAAAATTATTTTATTTGACTTGGAGCATAAATGCATAGAATGCCATGAAATCATCACAATTGTGATTTTTTTTATGTAAAAATAAAAAGGCATCATTATGTGGATTGCATTATACTATAACCAAAGAGATAATTTATAGAGCTTCAGACTTTCCTAACATCTTAATTAAAATAATTCCTCAGTTAAATTTATTTTACTGCAATATACAAGTTATGCTATTATTAAATGAAAACCTTTTTAAACAACCTTTCATTTTTGATAAGCCACAAAATATATTTATCAAAGCATTTAAATATAATGTTAAAGTTATTTCCTAATCCTCAAAATAAATACAAATTAAGTCTTTTTGATAAATTACATTTTAAAATGAAAATATATCCTAACAAGAATTGGTTAAGGGAGGAGGGTACCATACCTTTCTAGGTAATAAGATTATTTTCACGGCTCAGAGCAATTGTTCATGTCTATTAAAAATCAGTATCAATTGTTGACCAAATTTCTAATTTTATAGTATTCAAGCATGAAAATATCATTATTTAGTAGGTACTAGAGCTCCAGGATACTATACACACTGACCTAAAGATCAACTTCTACCCTTTTACCTCGTTGGTAAATTTATTTAATCTTTAAAGGTTTGTGGGGTTTTTTTTTCCAGAATTTCTATTCCTTCTATTTCTTAGTTAGCATTCAGCTAGCATGAGCAAAGTATCCCTTGCAAAACCCAAAGGTTGCTGTAACAAGATATTAGATCTTTCCAGGTTTAGCATAACAGGGTTAATTACCTAGAAACCATTCCTGCTTGTTATATACAAAGTACTGGAACTCCCCAAAAAAGTCTCAGAAAAAATAATTTTGTCAAATAAAAGTTAACTTACAACTCAAATTTCAGGTAAATTGTAAACAGAAACTCCTACTACCCACACTCTTTTAACACTCTATCAGCAGCCTTGTAATATATCCATGGTTAGCACAGATGAAGTCTTCATTGCTGTTTCACCAGACTAGAGGCATGGCCTGTCTTGGAGAGTTCCAGAGCTTAAACTGAGCAAGTTGCTCTATATTTAAAGGCTACTATGATTAACTAATATTTCAAGTCATATATGTGCAAAGGCCCTAGAGAATTCAATTCAAAGGCTTTTTTCATAAATAGAGCAAAACATAATTTTATTCTGATCTGGTAACCCAAGGTTCCAGAATAGTTCCAAGTCCTATCCCCATAAATATTCCACTGGGCCTTTTGAAATGGGAGGGAATATATCAAAACAGCATAAAACAAAACTAAAGGCGAAGCGCCCAGTGGCTCACCGCTGTAATCTAGGCTCTCTGAGGAGGCTGAGGCGGGCGATCGCTCGAGGTCAGGAGTTCGAAACCAGCCTGAGCAAGAGCGAGACCGCCGTCTCTACTCTTTAGAAAGAAATTAATTAGCCAACTAAATATATAGAAAAATTAGCCGGGCATGGTGGTGCATGCCTGTGTCCCGGCTACTTGGGAGGCTGAGGCAGCAGGATTGCTTGGCCAGGAGATTGAGTTGCTGTGGCTAGGCAGACGCCATGGCACCACTCTAGCCTGGGTGACAAAGTGAGACTCTGTCCAAAAAAAAACAAAAAAAAAACAAACACTAAAAACTATATACTTAAAAAATTATGTTATTTACTTTACTAAGTGAAGTATCCCAAGAATGGAAAAACAAGCACCAGATATATTCTCCAGCAAAGCTATATTAACTGAGTAGCACCTAAGTGGACACATAGGTGCTACAGTAATGGGTATTGGGGCAGGCGGAGGGGAGGGGGCAGGTATATAATACATAATGAGTGAGATGTGCACCATCTGGGGATGGTCATGATGGAGACTCAGACTTTTGGGGGAGGGGAGGAAATGGGCCATTTTTGAAACCTTAAATACTGTACCCCCATAATATGCCGAAAATAAAAAAAAATTATGTTATTTACTTTAAAACTCCCCATTTCTGTAAAAAAATTTTTTTAAAGGGTTGGAGGAAAGATCCAAAAAAGTACAATAGATTGTTCTTTTACTTTTTTTTTTTTTACCATTTTCTCTTGCTCTTTATGAGGCATGTTTATAGCATTTGCTTATATGAAACTATTAGCAAAAGCTATAGACTTAGAAAAGGAGAAAATGCTAATGGTATCTGTCTTTCCACATGGCCTAATATGCCTAATCCATCAAAGACAGATTATCTTTACCTTAAATTCAACACAAAATATAACTAGGGCTCTACTGTACTTTTAAAAACTATATTATATTTAAGGTGGAAAATGACTCTGTATTACAGGGTTTACTGTTTATTGCAGAGTGCCCTGAACGCTAAACTTAAACATGAAATGTTCTGAGGCTGCTCTCAGTTACTCAATACATCACAGGGAGGCAACATTGCCCATCATCTTAAACAAACATACCAACTTTGGCAAATACAACTTTCGTTAGTAAGACATCCTCCAGTACAAGCCAGCCACAAGCAAGTGCGTTTGAGTGCATGCATTGCCTATCCACGGCCAGCAGTCATTTACCTCGAAGGCATAATACCTATAACATTTTTATATGTGAATAAGTAGCACAGGGCTAATCATAAATCAGCAATTTTTTTTTTTTTTTTGAGACAAGTCTCTCCGCGTTTGTTGGCCCAGGCCAACGAGTGAGGTGCCGAGCATCCAGTACGTCTCACCAGCAAACTCAAACCTCCTGGGCCTGCAGAGCAAAGCCTGCTGCCAGCCCTGCCCGCAGTAGGCTGGACTACACGGCATGCACCACCATGCCTAATTTTCTATATATAATTCAGTTGGCCAAATTAATTTCTTCTCTATTATAGTAGAGACCAGGGTCTCGCTCTTTGGCTCAGCTGGATTTCGACAGCTCTGACGCTGAGCACATCTGGCCCTCCTCAGCCTCCCAGAGTGCTAGGATTACAGGTGTGAGCCACCACGCCCAGCAGTACTTTTTAATTCTCCTTTTAAAATAGATATTTATTTTGGTTTAAATAAGTAATAAATTCAAATGGTTCAAAAATCAAAAGAATAGGCCGGGTGCGGTGGCTACGCCTGTCATCCTAGCACTCTGGGAGGCCGAGGTGGGCGAATCACTCAAGGTCAGGAGTTCAAGACCAGCTTGAGCAAGAGTGAGACCCCATCTCTACTAAAAATAGAAAGAAATTAATTAGCCAACTAAAATATATAGAAAAAATTAGCCGGGCATGGTGGCACATGCCTGTAGTCCCAGCTACTCGGGAGACTGAGGCAGAAGGATTGCTTGAGCCCAGGAGTTTGAGGTTGCTGTGAGCTAGGCTAATGCCACCACACGGTAGCCCAGGCAACAGAGTAAGACACTGTCTAAAAAACAAAACAAAACAAAACCCAAAAGAATATAACAAAGTGTATGTTGAGAAGTCTCACACATATCCCTGGGCCCCTCTCTCCCCTACCCATCCCCACAATCTATTGTGATTAATTTCTTGTAGATACTCCCAAGATTTTTGTGCAGATACAAGTATATCATTTCCCTTTTTGTTATATACATTATCATTTACCTTGTTCTTTTCATTTAACATATCCTAAAAATCTTTCCATATCACTATACAATTACCTGCAATTCAATTGTGTGGATATACTCTATCAATTTAACCAGAATAGTTCTGGGTAGAATAGATCAGTATAAGTTAACCTCAAATAACTGAAATTAGTTATGTGTCTGTCTGTCTGACTTTGTGGTTTCCTTTTTCTCTTTCTCATTCTCTATTTTTTTAGGGACAAGAGGACCTGAAAAAATTTTAAGTAGTTCATTTGTATCTCAAAAATAAACAGAATATGAGATTTCTTAAACCAATTTTCTAATCATTCTAAAATTTCATTTTGAAATGGTAACTTACATTATTCGTTTTTACAACTTCTCCCCAAATGTCAATACAAAAGGCCTACTCACAATAAATTAAAATATAAAGTGATAACTTCAGCATAATTTCAACTAGGCATAATTTTTATACAGCCAATCTCTGGAAGAAAAGAAAAAAAAAAAACCAGCAGTTTATTATGTCAGGGAGATACAATAGGGAGTAAAGCTCTTAATTTTTATTTACGTAAAATTGCTATAATGATGTTTCTGAAATCAACAGTGAAATAACATTTTTAATTTATTTATTTATATTTATTAATAAGGTAGATTAAACTATGCCACCATTGAGAGGCATAATGTACAAACTGCTTCTCTCTACTCTCTTTTCTCTCCCAATCTTTGTTACCCTTGTAGTTACTTCTAATGCCAGGTTTAGAAGAGAAATCTTCAAAAGAAATCCCCAGGTTTTAAAAAGAGATTAACCTGAAAGGCCTTCACAGAAAGGCTAAGGGATAGCTCCATAAATGCTGGAGAGGTCGTAAGTTAGCCCAAGTACAACTACCGTCACGTGATTCTTCCTGCTCTTTAAGCTACCCACGCAAGTGGCTCTGTCCTCTATTTCCCAAAGGTCCTACTCTTCCTCTTTCTCATTACCTCTGCTCTTCAAAAAGGACCTCAAACTCATTTACACTTCAGTAAAAATAACTGTAATGTGTGTTACCCCTCGCAGGAATATCTGCATTCTGGCAGCCCTAAAAATCTTAAAGGAGCTCCAAGAGCTGGACATTTCTATGGCATTTGGATGTGAATGTGTGCGTTATTAGGGAAGCTGGGTCCCAAAGGACCTAACTTTTATCTCCATTTAAGTAAGTTTCTACGAGGAATATTTGTGTGCACGGTGATTAGAGTCAGAGGCAGCAATAATGGGGAGCCTACCAGGGCACCCACAGTACACAACTTCCAGGGGCACCACTCACATCATGTTCTACGTGAATGGCGCCCCCCAACACAATATGAATGGTGCTGCCTGCAGCTGTGCACGGTAATGGCCCTGCTTCTGTAAGAATGTGTTCTGAAGAGAAAATGCAAAGGATAAAAAGGTAATTTTGAAAGGCTGGGTCTAAAGACACAGTTTGAGATCACTATAATGTAATGGGAAGTTACATACCTACGTTCCAGACCATGTATTTTTGTGTGTCCCTGAACTAAAAGAAGTAATTGATTCAATTACTGCCCATTAGTCTGCTCTCACTTCAAGATGAAGGGTCACCACGCACCATAAAACTGAAGGATTCTTAAATCCAAAAAGAAAACATGCATTTAAGCCTTTACTTTTGGCCTCAGATCATCACTTTAAACTTCAAAATGCAGGGCAAAAGAAAGAAAGGAAGCCAGCCAGCCAGAAAAGTGAAGCAATTTGCTATGTAAACCTGATTTACGAAAGAATTCAAAAACCTTAAAAAACATCATTTTAACAACCTCAAAGTTTTAAAATTTTATTAATTAAGAAAACAGGCTGGGCGTGGTGGCTCACAACTGTACTCCCAGCACTTTGGGAGGCCAAGGCAGGAGGGCTGCTTGAGCTCAGGCCAACCTGACCAAGAGCAAGACACCATCTCTACCAAAAAAAAAAAAGAAAACAAAGAAGTCAGCTGTGGTGGCTCATGCCCTGTCCCCCCCCAAAAAAAGGGAGTAAAACAGAGGAAGAGTTCTAACAGCACAGTGGCACCTTATGTTTAAAAACAGTCCTGGCCAAGCGCAGTGGCTCAAGCCTGTAATCCTAGCACTCTGGGAGGCCGAGGCGGGTGGACTGCTTGAGGTCAGAAGTTTGAAACCAGCCTGAGCAAGAGCAAGACCCTGTCTCTACTATAAATAGAAAGAAATTAATTGGCCAACGAATATATAGAGAAGAAATTAGAGCAGGGTGGCACATGCCTGTAGTCCCACATGCTTGTAGCCTGTAGCATATGCCTGTAGCTACTGGGGAGGCTGAGGCAGGATTGCTTGAGCCCAGGAGTTTGAGGTTGCTGTGAGCTAGGCTGACGCCACGGCACTCACTCTAGCCTGGGCAACAGAGTGAGACTCTGTCTCAAAAAAAAAAAAAAAAAAAACCAAAAACAAAGTTCTCACCATTGAGAAATATATACTGAAATATTTCTAGATGATAGAATGTCTGGGATTTGCTTTCAAATAATCCAAGCAGTGGAATCAAGTGAGTAGAGGTACAGATGAGCCCAGAATTGATAAACGAAGCTGTATTATGAGCACGCAGGAGTTCATGACACTTTCATACTTCCACACCATCTTCAATTTTTCTTTAAATGAAACATACTCTCACATGCAAGGTATCTCCAGAATTTGGCAAAGTATTTGGTACACAGTAGGTAATTGATAAATATTTGCTATAGGAATGAAGGAAAGCCTATTTACAAGTATATAGTAAAGGAAAAACATACAAGATGATAACAATCAATGAATTAAGGAAGTGGAGCTATAAGTTTTTTTTTCTTCTTTCCAAAATGTTCTTAGTGTACAGGTATTTTATAATTTTAAATTAAGCTTTAAGAGATATTTTTAAAAGATCAAGATAGTAACAATTCACTTATTTCCTCAATACTGTAGTTCCATACTACCAAACCTTTAATCCTTACAGTTCCACTTAAGGCCTAACAAATACTAGGTCAACAAAAGCAAAACTTAATGCGAGAATACTCAAATATGCACTCATTAGTTTATTTTGTGAAATGGAATAATTTAATAATTGATACCTCTGGGAGGGCTGATTTGTTTGTTTTTTAAAATATTAATGTTGGCCGGGTGCAGTGGCTCACACCTGTCATCCTAGCACTCTGGGAGGCCAAGGCGGGTAGATCGCTCAAGGTCAGAAGTTCGAAACCAGCCTGAGCAAGAGCAAGACCCTGTCTACACTAAAAGTAGAAAGAAATTAATTGGCCAACGAAAAATATATAGAAAAAAATCAGCCGGGCATGGTGGCTCATGCCTGTAGTCCCAGCTACTTGGGAGGCTGAGGCAGGAGGTTTGCTTAAGCCCAGGAGTTTGAGGTTGCTGTGAGCTAGGCTAATGCCACGACACTCTAGCCTGGGCAGCAGAGTAAGACTCTGCCTCAAAAAAAATAAAATAAAATAAAACAAAATATTAATGTCTACGGGTCATTTCGGTACATAAAACATTTTAAATTATCATCTACATAACAAACAATCCCAAGATTAAGATCTCTTCACAGGTAACTTTAACCTACAATGTTATTATCCTTACTCTGAAAACTGTCATTATTTGGCTTTTCTTTCTCTACCATTTTTCACTCAGCCACTACTTCCTGATTCACATCACCTGTCATCAAAGTTTAAAGGAGTGGAAATAAGAGACAGACACACTGAACCAAAAAGGTGAGAAGAATCCATACAGGTAATGACAAATGCTTTTCCAGGGGCAGTTTGAAGAACATAACCTTAAAACACCAAGATTTTCTGTAGCTAAGAGCTCAATGACCACTGCATTAGCCAAGTTTTAAACCAATTCAAGGCCGGGCGTGGTGGCTCACGCATGTAATCCTAGCACTCTGGGAGGCCGAGGCGGGCGGATTGCTCAAGGTCAGGAGTTCAAAACCAGCCTGAGCGAGACCCTATCTCTACTATAAAAATAGAAAGAAATTAATTGACCAATATATATATATATAAAATCAGCCGGGCATGGTGGCGCGTGCCTGTAGTCCCAGCTACTCGGGAGGCTGAGGCAGCAGGATTGCTTGAGCCCAGGAGATTGAGGTTGCTGTGAGCTAGGCTGATGCCACGGCACTCACTCTAGCCTGGGCAACAAAGCGAGACTCTGTCTCAAAAAAAAAAAAAAAAAAATTACATCAAAAAAAATAAAAAAAAATAAAAAATAAAAATAAAAATAAATACCTTAACTTTGCAACATGTGATCTGAAAAAAAATAAAAATAAAAAAAAATAAATAAACCAATTCAGCTGACTTTTTCCATCTTCCATTGGCAGTTCATTTCTGTACATGAACCTTAAATACACATATATCTAATAATATACACAAAAAACAATAGAATATGGTTTACAGAGTATACTGGCATAGATATACAAAAATTCAAAAATACTATTTAGACATTAAGATTCAGGTTCTCTCTATAAATTTATTAAAAATCTTAGGACTGAGATTTAAATGGACAAATCTGTAGTTTGGTTACATATATTGATTTTTCTACCCTTTTTTATAGATTCAAAAGAGAAATACAAGAAGTGGAATCTCTAAAATGGCTTCCAGCCACTGGAATGAAACCACAACCTCTGTTTATCAGTACCTTGGTTTTCAAGTTCAAAAAATTTACCCTTTCCATGATAACTGGAACACTGCCTGCTTTGTCATCCTGCTTTTATTTATATTTACAGTGGTATCCTTAGTGGTGCTGGCTTTCCTTTACGAAGTGCTTGACTGCTGCTGCTGTGTAAAAAACAAAACTGTGAAAGACTTGAAAAGTGAACCCAACCCTCTTAGAAGTATGATGGACAACATCAGAAAACGTGAAACTGAAGTGGTCTAGCATTCTACAGAAGATGAATAAAATCTTTGACAGCAGCTTGATCTTGTCTGAGAAAAGAGAGAATCTTCTGAGACCAACTGTTAGTACAAAACTGATTCTGACTATGAATGGTTAAAAGATTTCTAGTAGAAGGGAAAAACAAGTTAAATATGCACTGTTTGTGTATGTATCCCTTTCATTAAATATACAGTAAAACTTCATAAATGTGAATTTACCATTTAATGTGACACCTCAAAAACTGGAGAAAAGATTCCTAAAATTCAATATTAAGCAGTAAAACGTAAGCTTTGGAAAATATAAAAAGGCTAATGATGCTAAAACTTAACAATTTGTGTAGTCTAAAAAATAGTGTTTTGGTAACAAAAATGCTGTTTAAAATGTAATTCTATATACAAAGTAAAATACTTCCACCATGAGTTCCCATTTATTAAAAAGTAATATTTTTTATTTATTGAAGACAACTTATATATATTTTTAGTGATTTGAGTTTGATGTAGGATTTGTATGAAAAAGTTTCAAAATACTCAGAAAGGGCCAGGTGCAGTTGGTCACGTCTGTAATCCTAGCACTCAGTGAGGCTGAGGCGGGAGGATTGCTTAAGCTCAGGAGTTCGAGACCAGACTGAACAAGAGTGAGAACCCGTATCTACCAAAAATAGAAAAAAGTAGCTGGGCCTGGTGGCACACACCTGTAGTCCCAGCTACTTGGAAGACTGAGGCAGGAGGATTGTTTGAGCCCAGGAGTTTGAGGTTGATGTGAGCTATGATGACACCACTGTATTCTAACGCAGGGCAACAAAGTGAAACCCTGCCTCAAAAAAAAAACAATAATCTAGTTTTTAAAAGACTATGTACTTTCCATCTATGACAAGGATCCCAAAGGTCATGAAAATGTATGTGGTTTTAACAGTGCTCAGAACAGCTCCTGGTTACCAAGTATTTTGTATACCTGTGTCACAAATCCTTTGAAAGTTGGTTACATGATTTGCGTTTGTTTCTAATATTAGAATAAATATTTTTAAAGTGCTTTGTGAAAAAATGAGTTCAGGATGGCAATTAAGGTTCTTTAAATTGAAAATAACAGATTTCTGCTCTCTTCCCTTCACCACATAGTTCTTTATTGCATAAAAAAAATTTCTGTGGCTGGAGTGCATGCAATGGCATGATTATAGCTCACTGCAACCTCCAACTCCTGGGCTGAAGTGATCCTCCTGCCTCAGCCTCCCAAGAAGCTGAGACTACAGGTGGAGGCCACTAACTATGCCTGGCTAATTTTTTCTTTTTCTATAGAGACAGAGTCTCACCATGTGGCCTCAAATGATTCTCCCACCTCAGGCTCCCAAAATGTTGGGATTATTGAGCTACCATACCTGGCAATAGCTAGATTTTTTTTTATAATGTACACTATCAAATGTTTCCCACCCTATCCTGTAATTTATTTAGCCATCCAACAAATATTTACTGAGTGCTTATTATGTATGAGAGATTAAGCCAGATACTAAGGGTAGAGTGGCAAACAAGCATCATGCAAACAGTACACAACAGCAGCTTTGTCAGAAAGCTATGGGAACTCAAAGGTTAAACACCGAATTCAGATTAGAGAATGGGAATAAGATGACTTTTAAACTGAAACCTCAAAGAACAGAAGTTAGCCAAAAGACAGAGGGAGGGAAGGAGGGAGGTAAGAATGTTCCAGGAAGAGGAAATAATATGAGCAAAAGCCAAGAGGCAAAAGAAAGTAAAGCATGTTAGAGGAGCTACAAGTCAGTATCACTAGGACAGAGTACAAGAACAGCAAGATACGAGGCATAAGAGATTAGCAGAGGCCAGATTACGTAGGGCATGTAGGCTGCAGAAGATGGACTCTATCTGAAAAACAACGATGATCAGCTTAAGCAGAGTGACATGATCAGATTAGAAAAATCATTGACTGGGAAGAATGAAGAGGCGAGAAGCTAAACCAAGAGATCTGGTAAGCACCGAATCCAGCAATCTAAGCATAGTGACCTAAACTAGGGTGGTATGATAGTCTGTAGTGTTTACACCCCGTATTTCCAGCTCTCTTCATTCTGAGCCCAAGAAAAGATTGCACTTAGGAACCCCTAAGGTTGGAGTACAGCCTTGTGACTAGCTCTGACCAATGAGCTGTGAGAGGAAGTGCTGTGTGTCACCTCCAGGCCAGAGCACTTACCAGGCTAGCACAAGATCTTTTTCCCTCTGGCACAGAAACCAGAAACATCTGAGCTATCAGCTGCTAACCTGGGTCCCTGAGTGACTGTACCAAGCTGAGACCTCTACCAACCCATGATAAACCTATGGTAGGAAACAGAAACAAGCCTGTGTTAAGACAGTGCGATTTTGGCATTATTACCACAACACAGTTTGTCCTATCCTGACTGTTGCTAGGGATGACCCTGGCCAACCAAAGCAAAGCCCTACACAGTCTCTTCCTGCTGTTCAATGGGATCTGCTGTTTGTGCAGAAGATGAAATTCCCTATCCCATTACCTGTAGCCAAAACTACAAGTTAAGACATTCTTGGCCAGGCGTGGTGGCTCACGCCTGCTATCCTAGCACTCTGGGAGGTCAAGGCGGGAGGATCGCTCAAGGTCAGGAGTTCAAGACCTGTCTGAGCAAGAGCAAGACCCTGTCTCTACTAAAAATAGAAAGAGATTAATTGGCCAACTAAAAATATATAGAAAAAATTAGCCGGGCATGGTGGTTCATGCCTGTAGTCCCAGCTACTCGGGAGGCTGAGGCAGGATGATTGCTTGGGTCCAGGAGTTTGAGGTTGCTGTGAGCTAGCAGACGCCATGCCACTCTAGCCTGGGCAACAGAGTGAGACTCTGTCTCAAAAAAAAAAAAAAGACATTCTTAACACATTGAGTGCCACACTAGAAAAAAAATTTTTTTTCTTTGGGCCCACAGTGTTTTATTAGGAAAATAGAATAAAAACTCTGAAAACGGGCCGGGCGCTGTGGCTCACGCCTGTAATCCTAGCTCTTGGGAGGCCGAGGCGGGCGGATTGCTCAAGGTCAGGAGTTCAAAACCAGCTGGCAAGGCGAGACCCCGTTCCTACTATAAATGAAAGAAATCAATTGGCCAACTGATATATATATATATAAAAAATTAGCCGGGCATGGTGGCGCATGCCTGTAGTCCCAGCTACTCGGGGGCTGAGGCAGAAGGATCACTCAAGCCCAGGAGTTTGAGGTTGCTGTGAGCTAGGCTGACGCCACGGCACTCACTCTAGCCTGGACAACACACTCTAGCCTGGACAACAAAGCGAGACTCTGTCTCAAAAAAAAAAAAAAAAAAAAAATCTGAAAACAAAACTATACTTTCTAGTTTAATGAAAAATTTGTTCTTTTATTGTTTTTTGTGCATGAGTTACATGCAACTTCAAAGATAGTAGGCAATTAAGTATGAAATGTCTGATTACCTTAAGTACTAAAAGTTGACAGTTGAATCTCTGACATTTCACTTGACACTTCTTGGTTATTCCCCCCCCTATTGTGAAGGTACATCCTCAGGCTTTCCAATACATGTTTTGGCTTGTGATTATCTTTCACATTTTTTAAGAGCAATTTTTGTGAACCATGGATAAGTAAAAAATTTGTGTTATTTTGAATATGAGTTCCATCATGAACCCAATGCAGAGCAGACAGCTTGAAATACCATCACGGTGTTGGAAAGATGTGGTTAAGAACACAGTACATCAACGGTTTGAGAAGTTCCATTCTGGTGATTTTAATTTGAAAGTGAGCCATGTGGGTGACCTGAGAGCAAGATAGATAATGATGAGCTGCAAGCTGTAGTGGAATCGAATCCATCTCAACCTACCCATGAATTAGCAGCAAGGTTTGACGTTACTTATTCCAACAATATTGGACCATTTGAAACAAACTGACAAGGTAAAGAAGCTGGCAGATGGATATCACATGAATTAAACAACCATCAGAAGAGAAATCTCTTGAAGCTTCCTTTCTTTGCTGTCGTGAATAAAGGCAAACCATTTCTATACCATATTGTTAAATGTGATGAAAAATAGATTCTTTTTGACAATTGCAAGCATTCAGCACAATGGCTGGATAAAGATGAAGTGCAAAATATAGTCCAAAACCAAATATTCATCAAAAATAAGCTAATAGTGTCTAGCGGGTGGTCAGCACTGGTATTATCCACTATAGCTTCATGAAAGCTGGTCAATCGATTACAGTAGATGTCTACCGCAACAGTTGGATGAATGATGAGAATGCTTGTGATTAAGCAGCTGAGATGGTCAACAGAGACAGGCTAATCTCCTTGCAAGAGGATGTCGAAAAAATGCTGCTGCTACAACTACAAAGCTGTGGACATCAAACTTTCTGTCATCCACTGTATTACCAGGCCTTGCATCTACTGACTGTTACTTCGTTCCAGGCTTGGACCACTTCTTGGAAAAATACATTCTCAAAAAGCTGTGGAAAATGCTTTCTCCATTTCATCACTAATCCTTCTTTAGGCTTCTTGGCTGCTGGCATAAACAAGCTACCCTTAAACGCCAAAACTGTGTCGACAGTTTAGGAGCATACTCTGACTAACTGTACTGCTCTTGTTTGAGATATATAAATAAACTTGTGACTCAAAATCAGACATTTCATATTTAATCACTGAATAGTTCTCACGGCTCCAAACATGAGAAGACATGTGAGTTACATATGCTTCACAAGGCCCCAGGCTCAAACTGGCAGATGAGTTAATATGACTCACATAGCAATTAATGTATTTAAGGTCAAAGGGGACAAGGCCTAAGATAGCTGTGTTAATGTTTAAAACAGTTTTAAATTTTTTGTATAAGTTAAATGTAAATTTCATTGTAATGAGAGATAAACCTAATATATATCTTATAAGAATGATAGGCCTACTTTGATTAAAAAATTAGCTGTGCTCTAACATCAGTTATTAAAACAACTTGAAGGACATCTAACAAAATGACATCAATAAAAATTACTGCTACACTTTGTCAATCAAGTTGTACTAACTTTTTGTTTAAAACATAATAGCCTAAGAGTAAACTAAATCCAAAGCAAGCAGAAGGAAGGAAATAATAATATTAATGTGGAATATAATGACATAAAAAATAGAAAATAGGCCGGGCGTGTGGCTCACGCCTGTAATCCTAGCACTCTGGGAGGCAAGGCGGGCGGATTGCTCGAGGTCAAGAGTTCGAAACCAGCTGAGCAAGAGCAAGACCCGTCTCTACTATAATAGAAAGAATTAATTGGCCAACTATATTATATATATATAAAATTAGCGGCGTGTGGCATGCCTGTAGTCCCAGCTCGGGAGGCTGAGGCAGAAGGATTGCTTGAGCCCAGGAGTTTGAGGTTGCTGTGAGCTAGGCTGACGCCACGGCACTCACTCTAGCCTGGGCAACAAAGTGAAACTCTGTCTCAAAAAAAAAAAAAAAAAAATAGAAATAAGAGGAAACCAATAAAACCAAGTTGGTTTTTGAAAGATAAACAAATTTACAAACCTTTAGCTAGATTTTACAAGAAAAAGAAGAAAATACAAATTCATAAAATCACAAATCAAAGAAGGGATATCACTACTGACCTTACAGAAATCAAAAAGATCATAGGGGAATACTGTGAAAACTTTAACAATGTAGATGATTAAATACACTCCTAACAAGTAACAAAATTAACTCAAGGTACCGAAAATCTGAATAGATCTATAAGAAGAAATTCCTAGAAAGAGCTTTCCACAAAGGAAAGCTCAGATCCAACTGGCTTGGCTGGCAAATTCCACCAAACACTTTTAAAAGTAACAGCACACCTTAACAAAATCTTCCAGAAAATAGAGGAAAAGGAAACACTTCACAAATCATTTCAGGAAGCAAGAAATACCCTGATAAGGCATCACAAGAATAAAATACAGACTGTGTCCCTCATGAATACAGACACAAAAATCCTGGACAAAATAATAGCAAATAGAATACTACAACAAATGAAAAAGATTATATACACCATGACCTACTAGGATTTATTCCATGAATAAATACAAAGTTGGTTTAACATCTGAAAAGTCAATTAATGTTAATATGCCATATTAATAGAAGGACAAGAACAGGCCGGGGGTGGTGGCTCACACCTGTAATCCTAGCACTCTGGGAGGCCGAGGCGGGAGGACTGCTCAAGGTCAGGAGTTCAAAATCAGCCTGAGCAAAAGCGAGACCCCGTCTCTACTATAAATAGAAAGAATTAATGGCAACTTAATATATATAGAAATTAGCTGGGCATGGTGGCACATGCCTGTAGTCCCAGCTACTGGGGAGGCTGAGGCAGCAGGATCGCTTGAGCCCAGGAGTTTGAGGTTGCTGTGAGCTAGGCTGACGCCACGGCACTCACTCTAGCCTGGGCAACAAAGTGAGACTCTGCCTCAAAAGAAAAAAAACCAAAAACAAAAATAACTCTGAACAACTAAGTAGAGGGAACTTTTCAACCTGATAAAGGGCATCTGCAGTAACATCATATACAATAGACTGACTGCTTTTCCCGCAAGATCATGAACAGGCAAAGATGTCTACTCTCACTACTTCTATTCAACATCATACCAGCCAGTCCAGATAGGAAAGAAAAAGAAATAAAAGGTGTGCATACTGGAAAGGTAGAAATAAAGCTTTTCACTCACAGATGACATAATCTTGATGCAGAAAGTCCTAGGAAATACAAAAACTACTAGAAATAAAAAACACTCTTCATGATGCAGAGCACTTTCTTTAGCAAAAAAAAAGAAAAAAAGATAAAAAGAATTAAAAAAAAAAAGAAAGAAAGAAAAAACAAGTTCAGCAAGGTTGCAGAACACAAGATCAATGTAGGCTGTGAGCAGAGGCCCATGCCTATAATCCTAGCACTCTGGGAGGCTGACGCAGGTGGATTGCTCAAGGTCAGGAGTTCGAAACCAGCCTGAGCTAGACAAGACACCCATCTCTATTAAAAATAGAAACAAATTAATTGGCCAACTAAATATATATATATATAAAAAAATTAGCCAGGCATGGTGGCACATGCCTGTAGTCCCAGCTACCTAGGAGTCTGAGGCAGGAGGATCACTTGATACCAGGAGTTTAAGGTTGCTGCGAGCTAGGCTGATGCCACCGTACTCTAGCCAGGACAACAGAGTGAGACTCTGTCTCAAAAAAAAAAAAAAAAAAAGATCAATGTATAAAAATCTATTGTATTTCTATATACTAGCAATAAACAATCCAAAAAAAAAAAACAAAACAATCAAATCAAGAAAAGTTTCATTCATAATACATCAAAAAGAACAAAATATTTAGGAATAAAGTTAATAAATGTGAAAGTGACTCCTACATTAAAAACTCCAGCCGTGCACAGTGGCTCCTGCCTATAATCCCATCCACTCAGGAGGGTGAGGCAGGAGAATCACTTGAGGCCCAGGAGTTCAAGACCAGCCTGGGCAACACAGTGAGACACCATTTCTTAAAAAAAAAAAAAAAGAAAAAATATGAAAAAATTAGCCAGGCTCATGGTGGCACATGCCTTTAGCTTTAGCTACTCCAGAGGCTGAGGCGGGAGGATCACTTAAGATCAAGAGTTCGAGGCTTCAGTGAGCTATGACTGTGTCACCATGATCCAGCCTGGGTTAGAGAGTGAGACCCTGTCTCTGTAAAAATAAAAAATTCAAAAGAACATCGAAAGAAATTAAAAATGCAAATAAATGGAAAAATATCTATTTTCACTGACTAGAAGAATTAAGATTGTTAAGATGGCAATTTTCCCCCAAATTAACTTACAGATTCAATCCAATCCCTATCAAAACTGCAGCAGGCTTTTTTTTTTTTTTTTAACAGATACTGAGTGACAAACTGATCCTAAAATTTATATGGAAATGCAAAGGATTCAGAAAAACCAAAATAATCTTGAAAAAAAAGAACTGAAGCACTCACACTTCTCAATCTCAAAACTTAACTACAATGCCACAGCAATCAAGAGAGTATGGTACTGGCATAAGAATAGACATATAAGTTAATGGAACTGAACTAAGATTCTAGAAATAAACTCTTTTATTTACGGTAAATTGATATTTGACAAGGGTCAAATTTGACAGGGGATAAACATCAATTTGCCAATGCAATTCAATGGAGAAAATAGTCTTTTCAAGGAATGGTGCTGGGACAACTAAATAACCACATGCAAAAAGATGTATGTAGATCTTTATGCTAAACCATACACAAAATTCAATGTAAATATACCAGCAACCTAACTATAAGAGCTAAAATTATAACGCTCTTAGAAGAAAACATACAAGTAAATTTTCATGACCTTTAGTCAGGCAAAATGATTTCTTAGGTAAGAGACACCAAAAACACAAGTGATAAAAGAAAAAAACAAGTTAGAATTCATCAAAATTAAAAACTTTTGCTCATCAAAAGACACCATTAAGAAAATAACAAGACAGTACGAGGTTGGAGAAAGTATTTACAAATACAGATCAATCAGATCAAGGAATGTTATTTAGAATACATAAAGAATTCTTACAAATCAATATGAAGAAAATAATTCAATTCTTTAAAAAATGGGCTAATTTGAATAGACATTCACCAAGATACATGAATGGTCATTAAGTATATAAAACAACATTCAATATCATTAGTCATCAGGGAAATGCAAATGAAACCACAATGAGATACTACTTCATACCTAAGAGGACGGCTACAATCAAAAAGACAAAGCACAAGTGTTGGCAAGTATAAAAAAAAACTGAAACTCTCAAACACTGCTGGTGAAAATGTAAAACACTACAACCATTTTAGTAGTTTCTTAAAAAGTTAAACATAAATTTACCATATGACCTAGAAATTCCACTTAGGTCTCTATCCAAGAGAAGTAAAAATATATCTACACAAAGACTGGTACATGAATGTTCATAGTAACACTATTCAAAATAGCCAAAAAGTAGAAATAATCCAAATGTCCACTAATTGGTGAACAGATAAACAAATTGCGGTACATATATCCATACAATGGAATATTCTTCAGCAATCAAAGGGAATGAAGTACTGATACATGTAATATGAAACTCAAAACTAAGTGAAAAAAGCTACACACAAAATACTATTATACATTTCCATTTACATAAAATGTCCAGAAAAGACAAACAAATAGAGACACAAAATAGATTACTGATTATCTGGAGTGGGAACAGACACACTGGTAATGGGCACATCAGATCTTTCTGGAGTAACAGAAATGTTCTAAAATTAGACTATAGTAACAGTGACACAACTCTGTAAATTTAGACATAATCATCTAAAGTTTAACTACAACATAAGATCATTAACATCTTAAGCGCTTAAATTCTCTTATCATCTCACCCCTTATAAAACAAAGTACCTAGCAATCAATATGAATGCTAAACTGAAAAATGAACTTGCCATGATTAAATGTTGCCTAAATAACAAAAAACAAACAGTCCTAACCAATTTTACTAACCAGAATTTTGTTTAGAGCCTGATGATCCTCCATGTTCTACCTTTGCTTTCTTCTTCTTGGATGATGATGATGATGATTCAGAAGATACTGAACGTTTTTCTACTACAGGGGTGGAAAGAGCTCGTTTTTTAAACAGCTCCCTTTCTCTCAACAGGCTTGGATCCATAATGCTGCAAAGAAAAACACAGTATCTTTAATATAAATTTAGGTCACTGTCTGCCAACAAGTTACTTCCCAAATGAAATCATCTTTTATTATTAGTTCTCTAGCACTTGCATTTATTCACTTTATTCATTCACCCAAAAAATATTTAATTGGTGTTTACTATGTACCAAGCACTGTGCCACTCCCTAATAAAGAAAAGAGAAATAGAATTATTCCTTAAATCTTTAGAACTGTGCTGTACAATATGGTAGCCACTAGCCACATGTGCCTATTGAACTGCTGAAATGTGGCTAGTGAGAACTGAGACAAGGCAAGGTGCGGTGGCTCACACGTGTAATCCTAGCACTCTGGGAGGCTGAAACAGGAACATTGCTTCAGGCCAGGAGTTCAAGACCAGCCTGAGCAAGAGTGAGACCCAGTCTCTACTAAAAATAGAAAAAATTAGCCAGCCTGGTGTGGTGGTGAGTGCCTGTACTAGCTACTTGGGAAGCTGAGGCAGGAGGATCCCTTGAGCCAAGGAGTTTGAGGTTGATGTGAGCTAGGCTGATGTAACAGCACTCTAGCCAGGGGAACAGAGACTCTGTCTCAAAAAAAAAAGAGAGAGAGAGAGAACTGAGATGTACTCCAAGTGTAAAAATATATATCAGATTTAAAAGACTTAGTACAAAGAAAACATTTTTAATTACTAATGATATTATTTTACTCTTACATGAGTTGAAGTGATAATATTTTGAGTACACTGGGTTAAATAAAATATTAAAATTAATTTCACCAATTTTTCCTTCTTAAAAAATACAGCTATTAGATAATTTTAATTACACATGGGCCTCACACTTGCAGTTCATATTGTATGCCTACTGGACAATACCGCTCTAGAAACACTGAGTATTGGGCAGAAACTGGAAGAAGGCAGATTTAGGCTCTCTGCAAAAAAAGAAAACCTCTGCAAAAAAAAATAATAATAATTTAATTTATAAGCAGTAATTTTTTTTTTTTTTTGAGGACAGGGTCTCACTTGTTGCGCTGGCTAGAGTGAGTGCCTGGGCATCAGCCTAGCTCACAGCAACCTCAAACTCCTGGGCTCAAGCAATCCTCCTGCCTCAGCCTCCCGAGTAGCTGGGACTACAGGCATGTGTCACCATGACCAGCTAATTTTTTCTATATATATATATATATTAGTTGGCCAATTAATTTCTTTCTATTTATAGCAGAGACGGGGTCTCGCTCTTCCCCAGGTTGCTTTCAAACTACTGAGATCAAATGATCCGCCCGCCTCGGCCTCCCAGAGTGCTAGGATTACAGGCGTGAGCCACCACGCCCGGCCTGAATGAAATTTTTTTAACACTGGTGAACTCTCAATCATTAAGTAATGAAGAGCTGTATTAATTTTTGTAGAAATGTCTACAGAAAATCCCTGATTTCATTCAATGCATACCTATTAAAATCCATCAGCATTCTTCACAGATATAGAAAAATAATTTTACATTTCGTATGGAACCAAAGACGACCCCGAATATCAAAAGCAATTCTAGGCAACAAAAACAAAATGGGAGGCATTAATATGCCAGATCAAACTATATAACAAAGCTGTAGTAATTAAATCAATCTGGTATTGGGACAAAAATAGAAATATTGACCAGTGGAACAGATCTGAGAATCCTGATATAAAACCATCCACATATAGCCATCTAATCTTTGACAAAGCAGACAAAAACATACGCTGGGGAAAAGAATCGCTTTTCAATAAATGGTGCTGGGAAAATTGGATAGCCACCTGTAGAAGGCTAAAACAGGACCCACACCTTTCACCTCTCACAAAAATCAACTCACGCTGGATAACAGACTTAAACCTAAAGTATGAAACTATTAGAATTCTGAGGAAAATGTCGGAAACACTCTCCTAGACATCGGCCTAGGCAAAGAGTTTATGAAGAAGTCCCCAAAGGCAATCACAGCAGCAACAAAAATAAATGAATGGGACATGATCAAACTACAAAGCTTCTGCACAGCCAAAGAAATAGTCATGAAAGTAAACAGACAACCTACAGAATGGGAGAAAATTTTTGCATCCTACGCATCCGATAAGGGGCTGATAACTAGAATATACTTAGAACTCATGAAAACCAGCAAGAAAAAATCAAATAACCCTATTAAAAAGTGGGCAAAGGACTTGAACAGAAACTTTTCTAAAGAAGAAGAATGGCCAACAAACATGAAAAAATGCTCAACATCTCTAATCATCAGGAAATGAAATCAAAACCACAATGAGATATCACTTAACTCAGTGAGAATGGCCTTTATCAAAAAGTCTCCAAACATAAATGCTGGCGTGGATGCGAGAGAGAGAACACTCCTACACTGCTGGTGGGACTGCAAACTAGTTCAACCTCTGTGGAAAGCAATATGGAGATACCTTAAAGCGATACAAGTGAATCTACCATTTGATCCAGCAATCCCAAAAGATCCAATGACACTCTACAAAAAAGACAACCTGCACTCGAATGTTTATAGCAGCACAATTCATAATTGCAAGGCTGTGGAAACAGCCCAAGTGCCCATCAACCCAAGAATGGATTAATAAAATGTGGTATATGTATACCATGGAGTACTATTCAGCTCTAAGAAACAATGGTGATATAGCACATCTTATATTTTCCTGGTTAGAGCTGGAACCCATACTACTAAGTGAAGTTTCCAAGAATGGAAAAACAAGCACCACATATACTCACCAGCAAACTGGTATTAACTGAGCAGCACCTAAGTGGACACATAGGTACTACAGTAATAGGGTATTGGGGGGGGCAGGTATATACATACATAATGAGTGAGATGTGCACCATCTGGGGGATGGTCATGCTGGAGACTCAGACTTGTGGGGAGGGGTGAATGGGATCTATTGAAACCTTAAAATCTGTACCCACATAATATGCTGAAATAAAAAAAAAAAAGAAAATCCCTGATTTGGACGGAGGTAAGACGAAATGACCCCTTTGTTGTTGGGTTGTTTTAGGTTTTTTTCCTAGTTCTAAAACTCTCTAATTCTAAGTGATTTCAGGACAATCAGGGAAGCTACCAGGCAATCAATAAGAATTTTAAGAACATTTCTCTTTTTTCTGAACTTTCCCTGGAATCCTATAGAGGGTCTAGGAAGAGTTCAAGCTGATATAAATGAGTTTGACATTGTTAAGACTCATGTTAAGTTGGGAGGAGCACAGGATAGCTCATTATGAACAACAAATGGAAAAACATCTTTAAATTGCTGTGACGCCATTATTATTGGTTTCGCGAGCCTTTATTAAATATCTTCTGTTTGTGAGGCACTGTACTCTAAGTTTTAAAAGGTTCTAATCTAGAAGATAAATTCTTGCCTGCAAGCGGCTTACATTTGAAAAAATGAAACCACTGAGCACCTTGCTTAAAACACAGTGAATACAAGTGAATTGGAGCGCTAAAAATTAACACAAAGACTACCATGTGAGTTGTATTTAACTCAGGCTCTTGTGGGCCCAGGCCCTCATGAAGCAAAACCCTACAGTTGGTTTGTGAAAATCTTACTTGTTGGTGTTCTTATTATTACAATTAATATTGACAATCTAATTCTAAAAATGTGGATTGTGTTGCATATTAACTCACACACAGAAAACAGTAAGAAATAACAAGTTAGAAAGGATCACTTTGTTTTAATAAAACACTGTGGCCCCAGGGGGAAAAAAAATTTCCAGTGTGGCAATGTGCTAAAAATATAAGCATTTATAAGGAATTTATAGCATTTATAATAATCCGAGTAAACGGTTGAGGAGGGAAGAGTCACTGGACAGCAAATCAAAGACCTGCCTTCTCTTAGTTTCAATTCCTAACAGCCACGTGGCTAGGCAATCCACAAGGCCTCTCTACCTTCAATTTCATCATAAGTAAAATGAGAACACTACCAATGCTGTCTACATTTAGCCTAATTGTAAGAATAAAAATAGAAAATGTTTATGAAAGTGATTTTTTAATATTAAAGCCATACGAATATATGTTATTTCAGTATTACTATTTTGCGTTGGATCCCAAAAAACAGAATGATTATACTGAAGTAGGAGACAATCTTGAGAGGAGGCAAAGTGTGAGAACAAGAAAAAGGAGGAATTCACAAGTGAGAAGGTTGGGACAACAACCAGATTGCAAACTCCTGAAACAGGAAACATCTGTATCTAGTTCACCTTGCAAAGAAGGTCATTAATCTGGGCTTTTAATAATGACTTTAACAAAGATTTAAATAAAGCCATACAGTTCACAAAAACCTAAATGCTTACAGTATTTGAGAGCGTAGAACTCCAGGAGAGAATCGGTATTATGTCATTCCTATTTTAATGCATGAAAGTCCAAGAACTATGTTTAAGGTCACACAGCTGGAAGATCCAGGGCCAGGACCCAAATATCCTCATTCCTAAAGCAAGCGCTCCTTACACCAGACCTGGAATGCTGGTAAAGGCCTTTAAAACAAAAGCCACCTGTGTGGTACTGGACATTCAAAGGCACCTAGAGCAGAAGCCTTCACATGCTCTAACTTTTCCTCTTTCTTCAAAGACCACTCAATATTTGTATGAGTTTGACATCTCTGTACCGACCTATGCAGGAGACAAGACACATCACCAAACCCATTTTACGTTTACAAACACAAACCACCACCACATCTCAGAGAGTTGATGGGCTCTTCTGTGGATGGATACTGAGAAGCCAAAAACTAAACTGAAATCCGCTGGCTCCAAGCCCACGTTCTTTCCACCATTCCACCTTTCAAGCCTTCCAGTTTGCCTGCCTCAGCCTGGGAGGTGCCACTGGCACCTAAGCACCCTGCTATGAATAGCCGGCAAGCTGAGAAGAGAGAGTGCTCATCTCTTAAATGACAGAAATGTAGAGGTGGGCGAAAAAGGGACAGCAGCGTCGTTTTGGAATATGTCTTTAGACTTTGCAAAAAAAAAAAAAAAAAACTACTACAACTGAAGTTTAGGAATCATTA